CGGTGGGCAGAGTGATGTCTCGTCGCGTGGGCGCAGAAGTCTGCAGTCCAACTCCGCCCTCCGGCTTGATGCCTTCTGGCATGCGCGAGTGGTGCCCCTGGCGCTACACGGAGAGGAGTCATGCGGTTCGTTGGGCGTCGGCTGTCCGCGGGGGGGAAGAAGTCATTGCAGTCGCCGCCGCATGGGTTTTGTTACCGAGTTGCGGGTGGGTTGGTGAGGTGAGTGCGCGACCAGTGGGGTTGACCTGTTTCGATTTCTGCAAGGTAAGATGCACCACGCAGATTCTCTTTTCTGGAAGAGTAATAGAATCTACCCACTCCAGAGGCCGGGGTTAACGATCCCCCCTCGCGATATTGAATTTGCGTGCGATTCTGACCCCTTGTCCATTTTACATGTGCGTTCACACCATCCCAGTCCAGCCTGTATCCACCCCCCCCGCGACCCTCTGCAACAAACACTATGCGCGCCCTCTCGCTTTTCATGAGTTACAAATTTCGAAGGTTTTCTGATAACAAATGGGAGAAGTGCACGCGCGCGTCGTCGTGCGCGCATGTCAGAATCCCTCAACATTTTGAAGTTTCGTAAGGATTGCAAAATCGAATTTCACAGAAATATATAACACAACATTTTTTGCAACCTAAATTTCCAGAACAAAGTTTGCTCTCACGCTCATGCGAATTCTTCATGAGACCATAGTTTTTTCAACATTTCCATAATGTGTTTCTAGATTGGCCTTTTGCGCGCGCGTGTGCCGAAATCGTTCGAACGCCATTGCGCGCGTGCTGTCGAGAGAATCCCTTGAAACAAATGGGACGAAGTGCGCACGCGCGCGTCGTCGCGCTCGCATGCCCTAGTACGTGAAAAAACCCAAGGTTTCGTGGGGATTTTAAAGCATATACCAACACACGGTTTTGCAACATTATTTTTCCAAGAATTTTGCGCTCGCGCTCTCTCTCTCTCTCTCTCCCTCTCTCTTTTTCCCAACCATCCTGTGGTGTTGGGTCTTCGTTTTGAAGAGACGGTGCCCCGCGTTCCTCTCCTCCTCCTCCTCCCCCTCCTCCCCCTCCTTGCCTCTGCTCTCGGCACACCTCTCACGCGTTTCGTAGCCCCATAGGGAGCTCCACCGAAGGTCCCAGTGGGGGTGTTCGCATGCGGTTCCCCCACCCAGGGCAGCGTTTCGTGGCCCCATAGGGAGCTCCACCGAAGGCCCCAGTGGGGGTGTTCGCATGCGGTTCCCCCACCCAGGGCAGCGTTTCGTGGCCCCATAGGGAGCTCCACCGAAGGCCCCAGTGGGGGTGTTCGCATGCGGTTCCCCCACCCAGGGCAGCGTTTCGTAGCCCCATAGGGAGCTCCACCGAAGGCCCCAGTGGGGGTGTTCGCATGCGGTTCCCCCACCCAGGGCAGCGTTTCGTGGCCCCATAGGGAGCTCCACCGAAGGCCCCAGTGGGGGTGTTCGCATGCGGTTCCCCCACCCAGGGCAGCGTTTCGTAGCCCCATAGGGAGCTCCACCGAAGGCCCCAGTGGGGGTGTTCGCATGCGGTTCCCCCACCCAGGGCAGCGTTTCGTGGCCCCATAGGGAGCTCCACCGAAGGCCCCAGTGGGGGTGTTCGCATGCGGTTCCCCCACCCAGGGCAGCGTTTCGTAGCCCCATAGGGAGCTCCACCGAAGGCCCCAGTGGGGGTGTTCGCATGCGGTTCCCCCACCCAGGGCAGCGTTTCGTGGCCCCATAGGGAGCTCCACCGAAGGCCCCAGTGGGGGTGTTCGCATGCGGTTCCCCCACCCAGGGCAGCGTTTCGTGGCCCCATAGGGAGCTCCACCGAAGGCCCCAGTGGGGGTGTTCGCATGCGGTTCCCCCACCCAGGGCAGCGTTTCGTAGCCCCATAGGGAGCTCCACCGAAGGCCCCAGTGGGGGTGTTCGCATGCGGTTCCCCCACCCAGGGCAGCGTTTCGTGGCCCCATAGGGAGCTCCACCGAAGGCCCCAGTGGGGGTGTTCGCATGCGGTTCCCCCACCCAGGGCAGCGTTTCGTGCCCCATAGGGAGCTCCACCGAGGCCCCAGTGGGGGTGTTCGCATGCGGTTCCCCCACCGGGCAGCGTTTCGTAGCGTATGTGCAGCCCATAGGGAGCTCCACCGAAGGCCCCAGTGGGGGTGTTCGCATGCGGTTCCCCCACCCAGGGCAGCGTTTCGTGGCCCCATAGGGAGCTCCACCGAAGGCCCCAGTGGGGGTGTTCGCATGCGGTTCCCCCACCCAGGGCAGCGTTTCGTGGCCCCATAGGGAGCTCCACCGAAGGCCCCAGTGGGGGTGTTCGCATGCGGTTCCCCCACCCAGGGCAGCGTTTCGTGGCCCCATAGGGAGCTCCACCGAAGGCCCCAGTGGGGGTGTTCGCATGCGGTTCCCCCACCCAGGGCAGCGTTTCGTAGCCCCATAGGGAGCTCCACCGAAGGCCCCAGTGGGGGTGTTCGCATGCGGTTCCCCCACCCAGGGCAGCGTTTCGTGGCCCCATAGGGAGCTCCACCGAAGGCCCCAGTGGGGGTGTTCGCATGCGGTTCCCCCACCCAGGGCAGCGTTTCGTAGCCCCATAGGGAGCTCCACCGAAGGCCCCAGTGGGGGTGTTCGCATGCGGTTCCCCCACCCAGGGCAGCGTTTCGTGGCCCCATAGGGAGCTCCACCGAAGGCCCCAGTGGGGGTGTTCGCATGCGGTTCCCCCACCCAGGGCAGCGTTTCGTGGCCCCATAGGGAGCTCCACCGAAGGCCCCAGTGGGGGTGTTCGCATGCGGTTCCCCCACCCAGGGCAGCGTTTCGTGGCCCCATAGGGAGCTCCACCGAAGGCCCCAGTGGGGGTGTTCGCATGCGGTTCCCCCACCCAGGGCAGCGCTTCGTGGCCCCATGGGAGCTCCACCGAAAGCCGCATAGGGAGCTCCACCGAAGGCCCCAGTGGCGCCGCATGCGGTTTTGCGGTTCCCCCACCCAGGGCAGCGTTTCGTAGCCCCATAGGGAGCTCCACCGAAGGCCCGCCCCGGTGGCGCAGTCCGCATGCGGTTCCCCCATCCAAGGCAGCGCTTCGTGGCCCCATATGGAGCCCCACCGAAAGCGGCACCCACAACGCGTTACCAACAATTGCTTATGGTTGGGTCTTTCGCCAGGATAATTTAAAGTTAGTTTTGCAACATTGTCATCCAACTCTGCCCAGCGGGCCTCTCGCGCCGCATGTCGAGCTCATTCGAACGCCTTTGCGCGCGTGCCAGGGGGGGCACGATCCGTGTCAAATAATACCACGCGGGCCGATCGCGCGCATCGGCTGCGCGCACATGTCGAACTCTTTCAACAACCTTCATCGTCGACGTGCGGACATCGTCATCGTTATCGGTGGCCGTGATCAACATCGGCGCCGTCATTGGCCTTGCCGTCGTCATCGCCACCTTCGGCACTATCGCTACTTTCATAATCGTGTCTACTGCTGTCGGCGTCGCCATGATGCCGCGCCCGCCCAAATCACCGACTCGTACTGGAGTGCCCGCTGGGAAATGCCTAGCGGTCAGCGCCACCGCGGCCGCGTCGGTCGCGCCAAACTAGCTGGCCGCTGTGCGCGCGAGCTTGTGCGGGCTAGCGCGGCCGCAGAGGAACCAGCCAACGCCAAGCACTCGTCGCAATCGCGTCCGCATGGTTTTTGTAAACCAAGTTGCGGGTGGGTGGGTCTCCCTGGGTGCGTGGGATGTTTGCAAAATCATGGAACATGTCAACCCGTTTGTACAAATCAGTTGTACCACATATATTGGAACACGTAGAATGCGCAACATAGAGTGCACAGCGTACATTGTACCACATATGTTGCACTTCGTAGACCACGCCACAAATCTGGCACTACATAGATTGCACCACATATCTTGCACAACATAGACTGCACCACAAAGGCTTCATGACGTACACGTGCTCCGCATAGACCGCAGGCACATATCTTTCTACGTATGCTGGACAACATGAATTGCACACGACCGATTGCGCAAAATAGACTGCACAACCCAGATCGCGCACCACATATATGTCACAACGTAGGCCGCACAACATGTTTTGCACCACGTAGATTGTGCCACATCTCTTGCCGGACACGATTTGCACAATATATGAGACACCATATGTTTTCCACCACGTAAATTGCACCACATAGGCTGCGCACCATAGATCGCGCCACATGTATTGCCCAACACATTTGGGACATTGCAAGTTGCTCCACATAGATTGTTCCACATGGATTGCACCACATTGGTCGTTCACCACATATATTGGACAACGTAGATTGTTGAACATTGGTTTCCCGACATACGTTACACCACGCATATAGCACAGCACATATCGCACAGCAGAGGTTGCACAACACAGGTTGTACGACATGGGTTGCATAATACATATCGCACCACATAGATTGCACCACAGAGATGGAGCTCCACATATATTGCACGGTGTAGGTTGCAACACGTTGATTGCCCCGCACATGTCGCACCACACTTAGTTCATAGCACGGATAGCACATCACGTGTTCCATCTCATAGATTGCACCACATCGATCGTTTCATATGGAGGTTGCACAACACATATTGCACCACAAATCTGGCACCACGTGGATTGTACCACATATCTTGATCAACATGGATCGCACCACACATATTGCTAGAAACATGAATTGTACCGCATTTATACAGATACTGATCGAAAGTTTGGGCCCACCCAGGCTAGCCTATGTGTGAGGTGTATGTGTGTGTGTGTATGTATGTATGTATGTATGTATGTATGTATGTATGTATGCATGCATGCATGCATGCATGCATGCATGCATGCATGCATGCATGCATGCATGCATGTATGTATGTATGTATGTATGTATGTATGTATGTATGTATGTATGTATGTATGTGCATCGAACTCACACTGTTTTTATCCGTGCGGGGTGCTTTGCGTCCTGATGGCCCTCGCGCGCGCAGCAGAGACTGCATGCGCCCGCCAGCTCGCCCAGAAGCGCCTCGTGAAGGAGCGGCAGAACCTCATGCAGGAGCGGGGTGGCGGGCCGCTCAATCCTCATCTTGTCTGGCCGTCGTCCTCGTGGAGGGGTCCAGGCGGGATGGGCCGAGCCGCACTTTTCTCCTCCTCCTCCTTTTCCTGTCAATCGTCCCCTGCCTTCTTCTCCTGCTGCTCCATTTCCTGCTGCTCCTCATCCCTCCTCTCTCCTTCCTCCTCCGCTTTCTGCCTCCTCCCCCCTCCTCCCGCTTCCGTTCGCCTCTCGCGACGAGTTCAGAGGAAGGTGAGCTCCGCAGTTTGGCCGCGATGGCGGAGACAACAGGAGCTCCCTGTCGCAGTTTGCGCGATGCTCCTGTGTCTGTCGGCGAAGTCACGGCCAACGGAACCTATTTTTTAACTGCCCAGCCGACGTGGTGGTTCACGAAGAATAGCAGCATCGGTTTTGTGCTCCCGAGGCTGCCCATTGGGATGCCAAAGGGTTCTTCCGGCGGAGCAGACAAGGAGGCACGGACAGAGCGCTTCCGACCACCAACACCTGGGGTCTCTTTGGACAAAGCGCTGAGTCGGAGGAGGCCTCGGAGCGTGGCCTGGAACGGACAGGCTCGCGCCACTGGATATTCATTCCGTGGTCCACGGCTTCACTCCACTCTGAAGGCTGTGTATTGAAGGGTTGACCCAGCGGCGGTTGACCAGGTAGCGGGGGTAACCAGAGCTCCGCCCATCACCAGAGCAGACATGTGCAACGCCCGCATTTCCAAGTGGGCGCGCGCCAGCAGGCAGGACACAGTCAGGCCAGCCCACTACGGTCACCAAGGTCATCGCATGCTCGGCACGCCCTCTCAGCGACTTCGACGTTGACTGGGCACTCTGTCTGGATCCACTCGGCGCGGACGTTGCATCATGACCGCCCATGCTCTTAGAGCACCTCTGCAAGATCTTGCTTGCCGCCTGGGTCGTGAGCGTCCGGGCGAGCGGCGCAGGCCTTGGACCTCGGCTGGTGAGGTCAGGACTGCAGTCCATCGAATCTGGGTCTCAGTGGCCACCAAGATGCAAACCTTCACCGTCGCCGGACGATCCCGATACATCAATAGGCCAGTAGGTGCGATTGTGTGCCTGTTGTCGCAGTGTGGCTGGCAGTCACGCAGTCCTCCTCGCTGGCAGCTGTAGATGCGACCGCTTTTCCCGACGAGTAGACGACAGGGCATGGTGATGTATCAGGTCTCGTGGCACGAAGCGGCCAATCACTACGGGGGGGAATGCATTGCCGCAGGTGTCGACGACGACTCGTATCGAGCTCTTCGCCAGTTTCGTGCGACGCTGAAAAAGCGCCACGGGCCCAGACGTTACGTTTTTGGCTATTTTGGTCAGCGGCACTTGACCGCGGACACGTTTTGAAGTCCATGTCAAGTATTTGTATCTGTGCCCGCGTTGACATGCGCGCGTCGAAGACGATCTCGAATCACAATTTCCTCGATGCTGGACATGTCCACAGAACGTGGACAGCGAAGCTTACCGAGACTTCGCTCATTCTGCGACGGAGGCTCTAGCACAGTACGAGTAGTACCAATGCTTCGCGCCGTGGACGGCAATACCCTCGCCGCCGTGTCAAGAGAGATGTGGACCTTCGAGCCAGAGTTAGACGGCAACGACGGCCAACGTCCTTTCGATATTGTTTCCAGTCGCCCGCCGGTGCTTGCCTGTGGGGGCACCAGCTCGGGGCCTGATATCTATGACTCAAAGTTGGGAAGAGTGGGCATGTGCCTCAACTTGGTCGATGTCAAGTGTCCTCCTGTCAAATCTGGTCTTGTTTGCAAGCGTCCCTTGCCAGGCCGTCGTCAGAAAGTTTTTCGGGGAGAGGACAGCACTCGAATGGAGAGGTCCGCTGGTATACGTTACCGGCAGCGAAGCAATGTGTCAGGAGGGCACCGCCATTTTTGTAATGGACCGTGGGACGCTACTTGGGATATTGACCTATGGGCAGCCATTCTTTGGTACATGCATGGCAGTTGTGACCCATTTACTTTTTGGTGGTGCTCCTGAGCTCACACATGTCATAATAATAACCTTAGAGAACGGGGGGTTAATCTTTGTGGATGGTGCAGGTGAATAAAAAGCTGACGAATTCGAGGGGCCAATCGCCAGAGACTGAGAGACTGCGACTGATTGTATCCGTGTTGCCTCTGGCGATCGCCGTACCGAGCTAGTGCGGAGGAGGCTGCTTTTGGCTTCCATGGTTACATATACTTAACCAAGGCACAGGAACATGTCCTCGCCTCCTCCCGCCCGCCCAGCCATTGTCGCGAGATGCCGCGCCACCCATGCTCTCAGTGAGGAAAGTAGGTATTGCATCTCCTGCAAAGGGTCCGCGTCTAAGAATACAAGTGACTGACTGGCTTGAGCCCCCTTGTTTTCAGTTTGAACACGTACATGTGATCCGCAGTACAATGCCGTGTGGTCTCAGAGTCTGCTGCTGTGCGGTGTGGGTTCGGGGGTGGCTGCGCCCAACGCATGGTCCCCTCCACTACAGTAATTGAAGGCTCTGGTCTTGCGGAAGATGCGGATTCTAGCATCCCTGCAGGTACGAGATCTTGAAAAGCAGTGCGAACGTAGTCCCAGTAATACCCGTCGGCAGAAGCTGGACTCCAGCAGCAAGGGTCCTGCCGTTCCTCGGATGCTCTTGGGGCAACGAGCCAGGAGGTTCAGTTCCTCATTTTCCATGGCTGCTGTGCGCGAAGTGGCCATTCCGAATTCCCATTCCCGTTCCCCCTTCGCTCCCTACCATAATCCTCCAGACTCAGACCCCCGACGTCATGATTTTTTCAGAACGTCGACCCCCAGAGGTCTCGACCCCTTCCCAAGGACCGGTTTCCCATCCCGAGCCGTTCATTGACGGTCCCGAGGCCCAACAAGGGCCACCAGGGCCCGAAAACAGTGAGAAACCTCCCGTCGTGATGCTTCCATGCTTCGGGGGGGTCTGGGGAACCACCGTCCAGGGCCCGCCCGCTCGAGCACCCCCGAGTCCGAGGGCCTCCGAGGGGCCTCTCCCGGGGAGGAGGAGGAGGGGGAGGAGGAGGAGGAGGAGGAGGAGGAGGAGGAGGAGGAGGAGGAGGAGCCCCCCTGGGGGGGGGGTCCGCGCGGCCGCCGCGGGCGCGCGCGCAAGGAGAGGCAGGAGCTGGAGGACTGCGGCATCCACGTGCACTGGGGCGAGGACGCCGGGCGGCCCCCCCCCGGGCCAGCGCGGGTCCGCCGCCCCCCCATCCCGCGGAGGAGGGGGGGGGAGGGGGAGGAGGAGGAGGAGGAGGAGGAGAGGAGGAGGGAGGAGGAGGAGGAGGAGGAGGAGGAGGAGGAGGAGGGGAGGAGGGGGAGGAGAGGAGGAGGAGGGGAGGAGGGGAGGAGGAGGAGGAGGAGGAGGAGGAGGGGAGGAGGAGGAGGAGGAGGAGGAGGAGGAGGAGGAGGAGGAGGAGGAGGAGGAGGAGAGGAGGAGGAGGAGGAGGAGGAGGAGGAGGAGGAGGAGGAGGAGGAGGAGGAGGAGGAGGAGAGGAGGAGAGGGGAGGAGGAGGAGGGAGGAGGAGGAGGAGGAGGAGGAGAGGAGGAGGAGGAGGGAGGAGGAGGAGGAGGAGGAGAGGAGGAGGAGGAAGGAGGAGAGGAGGGAGGAGGAGGAGGAGGAGGAGGGAGGGAGGGAGGAGGGAGGAGGGGGAGGAGGAGGAGGGGGGGAGGGGGAGGAGAACCAGAGTGAATCCCAGACTCATCAACGGTGTCGGAGCAAGCCCTCCCTCTAAGCTCCCTCTTCATGGGCCCCTGCATGGACTCATTGCCACTGAGGGGGGCGCCCCGTTGGAAGACAAACGTCTGATGATCCTGAAGCGTGCCCAAACACCATTCTCGGGACTTCAGCGCCACGAATCAACAGGACTGTTGCGTATTGACGATCCTGAATCCCCGCCCTCCATCTGTGAAACCCTTGTTCCAGTTTTGGAAAATAATGTGCGTGGCGATAAAGGGGAGGGCCATATTTTGGAAACGACCCGCCCTCAATCCGTGAAGCTTGTGCGAAGTTTAAAGACGAACGTGCGCGGCGGTATGGCTAGATCCACATCTTGAAAACGACCCGCCCTCCATCTGTCAGACTGCTGCCGATATTTCAGCTTCAAGAGCATACTTTGAAAGGAAGTCTCAGGCGAAACACCCCGCCCGCCCTTTCGACTGGCCTCGGGCTGCCACGGGGAGGAGTTATTCATAAGTGAAAGGAATGGGGGAGGAGCAGGCGGAGGAGGAGGAGGAGGAGGAGAAGGAGGAGGAGGAGTAGGAGGAGTGGGAGGAGAAGGAGGAGCAGGAGCAGGAGCAGGAGCAGGAGCAGGAGCAGGAGCAGGAGCAGGAGAAGGTTTGTGGAGGTGGAGGAATGGCAGCAGGAGAAGCAACACCAGTAGTAGGAGCATGAATAGTGGGTAAGGACGAGGCGCCGCCAGATTGCAAGAGCCAAGGGCAGCGAGCATCCGCCTGCGAGGAGCTGAACAAGGCGCTGGCCCTCATTATAGGCCCCACCGGCACGCCGTACCAGCGGGGCTTTTATTTCTTTGACATCAAAATGCCGGACAGCCAGCAGGGATCGAGGCTATGAGGAAGTTTTTAGCTGGTTCCAGAGATTTTCTGGAGGATTCCAGACAGGAGGAGGAGGAGGAGGAGGAGGAGGAGGAGAAGGAGGAGGAGGAGGAGGAGGAGGAGGAGGAGGAGGAGGAGGAGGAGGAGGAGGACAAGCTAGGTGCGCTCGCGTCATATCTGACATCCTACCCCTCCCTCCCATCCCTTACCATGGCGTAGATCCCCTCTCTACTCGCGCAGTCGGATGTCGAGCAGGGCAATGCTCCCGAAAGGGTACGCGATGCATTGTAGAGCACGGCATGGCATGTCGTAGAAGAGCACCGCAAAGCGTAGTATCAACCTAGCATTGCATTGCATGCCGTGGCATGGCACGGAAAATGACGCCAGCGCTGCAGCGGGAGCACGAGTCGGAACGAGCGGAAGCGCGGAAATGAGGCCAGCGCTGCAGCGGGAGCACGATTCGGAACGAGCGGAAGCACGGAAATAAGGCCAGCGCTGCTGCGGGAGCACGATTCGGAACGACCGGGGCCCGAAAATGAGGCCGACGCCTCAGCGAGAGCAGTATTTTAGAAACAAATGCAGGCGAAAACCCAACTCCGGGGAATCCTGTGTGTAAAAAACAGTACGCGGGGGGGGGGCTAATACTTTCAAACCGTCATCAGGGGAAGAGGGAGAGTAGTATTCATATTGAGTCATTGTAGAGGCGGAGGCGGAGGCGGAGGCGCAGGCGGAGGAGGAGGAGGAGGAGGAGGGGGAGGAGGAGGAGGAGGAGAAGGAGGAGGAGGAGGAGGAGGAGGAGGAGGAGGAGGAGGAGGAGGAGGAGGAGGGGACAGCGAAAGGGGAGCAGGAGAAGGATGCAGGGAAGGGGCCCACGAGCTGATTCACGGTCGAGCAGTGGCCGCGCGGCTCAGTACCGTCCGCGCCGCCGCTGACAGTTTCTGCTGTTCCTTTTCCCCCGTTCCCAGTTTGCCCCTCCCCTTCCTCGTCCTCGTCCTCGTCCTCGTCCTCGTCCTCGTCCTCGTCGTGTCCTCCTCCTGGATGCGTCGATGCTGAGGGCAGTGCAGTATCCAGGAGACGTAGCCCTGCTCTCCCCCCCCCCCACTTGGCGAAAACCAAATGACGGGCGGAAGCAGAAGTTGGCTGTGGACGTGGTACGTTTGATGGTCGGTGGCCTCCATCCTCGGTTGGTCCCAGGCCTCGTAATGCTTCAAGAGGCTTGCGCCAATCCGCCGACCTCCGGATGAAAGACGAAGTCCACGGGTGAGCTCTCTTGGGGCCGTTGTGATTGGTGGGAGCGCCCTTCGGGGGTCCTCGGGTCGTCTTGTGGGCATCTCGAGGACCATTTCGGAGCCTCTTCTGGTTCTCTTGGGGGCCTCTTTTGGCCTTCTTGGGCGCCTTCTGGCGGTCTTGGCCGTCCGTTTGGGGCCCAGGGCCCGAAGTGCCACTTCGAGTTGCCCCGCTTGGGCCTCTCTTGGGGCCCTGTTGGGGCCCTCTTGGGTCGCCTTGGGCGGCTCTCAGGCCGTCTTTGGGGCCCTCTGATGCAGTCTTTGGGTCATCTTGAGGGCTTCTTGTGCGCCGTCTTGGAGCGATCTTGGGAGGCGTCTTCAGCAGTCTTGGTCGTTGTTGAGACCGCAGAGATGCACATGCTAACATTATTCGTTTCCTCGAAGGATTGGGCCGTTTGTTGTCTCTTGGGGCCCTCTTGGGAGTCCTCTTACAGGGCCCTCTTGGGGCGTCCCGGAAGCTATTTGGACAGTTCTGAGGCCATCTTGGTTGTTCCTGAGGCTCTCTGCGGCGTGTTGGAGCCCAGCTCGAGCCAGTTGAGATGATCTTGGGCATCTTGGAGGCCACGGGGCGTAGATTTTGAGGCTCCGGAGGCCCCAGGGGTGCGTTTTGGCGCCCGCCCCCCCCCCCCCCCCCCTTACACGCGATCTTGGACCCTGGGGGAGGGGGAAGGAGGGAGGGGGAGAGCCGGATGTCTCACACGCCTTGTCACCCCCAGCAAGCGGGGGTCGGCGGATCTCGGATCCTTCCTCCCTCCCTCCCTCCCTCCCTCGCGTCCTGCTGCAACTCCACAGCACGTGGGCTTAATCCCCAGGCGCCCGCCCGGGCCCAGAAGCGGTCCCTGGAGGCTGAGCGTCGGAGCAAAAGCACCGCCCGCCGTGCTTTGCTTCGGGGCACCTGCAGGTCAGGCTCCCTCGATCCTCCTGCGGAGGAGGATGATGATGAGGAGGAAAATAAGGAACATGAGGAGGAGGAGGAGGAGGAGGAGGAGGAGGAGGAGGAGGAGGAGGAGGAGGAGGATGAGGCGGAGGAGGGGGAGAGGGAGGAGGAGGAGGAGGAGGAGGAGGAGGAATGGAGGAGGAGGAGGAGGAGGAGGAGGCGGAGGAGGAGGAGGAGGAGGAGGCGGCGCCGGCGGCGGCGGAGGAGGAGGAGGAGGAGGACCAGTGGAAACCCAATAATCATCAACGATGTTCGAATTAACCCTCCCTCCAAGCTCCCTCTTCATAGGTCCCTACAACGGTTCATTTCCATTGAGGGAACTGCCTCGTTGGCAGACAACAGTTTGAATAATCTGAAGCGTACCAAAGCATTGTTCTCGGGAGTTCAACGCCACGTATCAACTTGACTGCTGCGTCTTGACGACCCAGATTCGTGTCAGAACGCCATTTTGGGATTTCGACACAGCAAGTCAACATAATTGTTGCGCCCGTATACTCCTGAATCCTTCCAAAACACCATTTCTGGTACGTTGGTCATGGGATTCCGTAGAACTTGTTTTTTTTAGAAAAGACTGTGCGCGGCGCTAAGGCGAGAGCCACATTTTGAAAAGGAGCTGCCGTCAATCCGTGAAATTCTTACAGTTTTTTAAGACGAATCCGCGCGGCGCTCAGGCGAGAGCCCCATACTGAAAACAACCCGCCCTCAATCGGTGACACTCTGGTGAATTTTTAACACGCGTGTGCGCGGCGCTAAGGCGAGAGCCCCATTTTGAAAAGGAACCGCCTTCAATCGGTGACACCCTTGTAAATTTGAAACGTATGTGCGCGGCGCTAAGGCGAGAGCCACATTTCGAAAATTACCCGCCCTCAGTCCATAAAGCTCTTGCACACTTTTCAAACGGATGTGCGCGGCGCTGAGGCGAGAGCCACATTTTGAAAACCACCCGACCTGAATCCGTGAAACTCTCGCACAATTCTTAAGACGAGTGTGCGCGGCGCTAAGGCGAGAGCCACATTTTGGAAAACCACCCGCCCTCCATCTGTGAAGCTGTTGCCACTTTCCAGAGTCATAGATGGTGAGGAAGTCTCAGGCGAAACGCCCGACCAGCCCTAAAAACCGGCCTCGGGGTGCGACAGGGAGGAGTTATCTATAAGGAGAAGGAATGGAGGGAGGAGGGAGGAGGGAGGAGGGAGGAGGGAGGAGGGAGGAGGGAGGAGGAAGGGAGGAGGGAGGAGGGAGGAGGGAGGAGGAGGAGGGAGGAGGGAGGAGGGAGGGGAGGGAGGGGAGGGAGGCAAGCTCGGTGCGCTCGCGTCATATCTGACATCCTACCCCTCCCTCCCATCCCTTACCATGGCGTAGATCCACTCTCTACTCGCACAGTCGGATGTCGAGCAGGGCAATGATCCCGAAAGGGTACGCGATGCATTGTAGAGCACGGCATGGCATGTCGTAGAGGAGCACCGCAAAGCGTAGTATGTCACAGCA